GTAAGAGCACCTGTTTTGTGATATAAGGATCTTTAAGACGTCTTTGTTAGTGAATGAGACCTCAGAGCTGACATAGAAGAGGTAGTCATCTCCACTTGATAATGCTGCTTCCCTGGATAGGGTGACAACGAAATATATCATCAATTTAATATGTTGTGTGACAGCACTCAGTATCATTGCATCATATAACATTGTGTTGTGTGACGTAGCACTCAGTATCATTGCATCATGTAACATTGTGTTGTGTGACGTGGTTTGATGTTGCATGACACATATTGGTATTGTGTGACATTGGACTGCATGACTATTAGTCATAATGTCACACAATTTAATTTTATGATTTCCTTGATTGATGACCCAACCATTGCAAATGTTATACTAATATGCCGATCATCCAATACTCAAGAACAGTGCATTTACTTACACTATTTTGTTTCTTGCTATAAATTCCTTCTCGCCGGAGTCTGTAAACGCTGGTGGACCAATGTTTGTAACTGTTTTGTATAATCCYTTTGCACCTCCTTTCAGCCAATCAGCAACATGATTGGAATGATATTCAACCTAAAACATTAGATCATGCTGTTCAGACTGCATGACTGATTGACTGGCTGTCAATCATAATAAATAAACACAGGAAGCCCAATTCAGTGAATAACCCACCATGTTATGAATATACAGATCAATGCGCTTCTTTGGGTAGTCAATTTTTTCAATCTTYTTAAAGAATTCAGGCATAAATGGAGTTGCGTATGGAATGAATATYGCCATCATCACTGTTGGTAGTTCATTGTCCTGTAAAAAAAGACAATTGAGATTCAAAACTATATATTATTAGTATAAACATACTAATGGTCTATCACTCATACTGCGCTGTGATTGGCTACTCTACTAATGGTCTATCACTCATACTGCGCTGTGATTGGCTACTCTACTAATGGTCTAATTTGTGATAGACCACTTGCGGGAAAATCAAAATAAACAAATTCTAAATTCTAAATTATTTTAAGGATATTTCAATTTGTTTTCATTATTTGACCGATTAGTATGTTTATACTAAAACAATTAGACCTCTCGGCCTCGTGGACTACGGAGCTAATAGCCCATTCGGCCTCGCGGACTCGGCCTTGGCATGGGCTATTAGCTCGTAGTCCACTCGACCTCGAGGTCTAATTGTTAAATAGAAATATCAAATGAAATTATTCCATTCTATAAGAACTTGCCTTTTTCTTTTTTAGGTTTATTATATCTTCATTACATTCCAGGCAGCCACTGTCAGGATGCCACGTTCCTGGGACGTAGTTGGACAGATAATTTAGGAAGATCTGTTGAAAAAAAATGAGTGAATTCCATTTCATTCTTACATTTTCCCATCCATCCATTCACTGATCCATCAATCCATTCTTCTTTTTTTTTTGACAGTAAGCATTAACAATAGCAATAACAATAATAATAATTATTGACATAATGATTTTGATAACAAAGCTCAAGTCAGTGTCAATAGTGTTGATGGTGATATGCTAATGG